TTAGCACACAATTTACAATCTCGTGGTTGCAGGTAATACAAAACCATCGACAATGTAAAAACATGTATATAATTTACAATCTAGATTAGGGCGATATGGCAAGATCAGAATGCTGGTGTAATTAGCACGACTTGTTTCAGATAGAATCGTATAATTACTTAGCATATCTCACATGGCAGACATGTGTTGTTACAAAATGGCGATTATTCAATAACTAACAAGTTTTTTAGTTTCATCTTTTCAACTGCGCTAATTAGTGACCGCTTTCCGCCGCATAACTAGCTAAAAGTTTCTTGAATTTTATTAAGTGAACATTAAATAAACCCCGTGTCAAGACTAGACTAATTTAAAACTACTCCACACCTTCTAATTACTATTAAACGGTTTGACACCGCTTGGTAAAAATCGGTTTCTCATTTCTGCATAAGACCGGCCTTCTTTTATTTCAGTTAGCCACAATAAATAACAACAGCAAAACAGAAAAACTCGTGTAAGTAAAAAGTAGATTATTGTTCAACTGGCCATGCAATCTCCACATAGTTGAATAAAACGTCGCTGGCAAAAAATATATATACTACAATACATCTAGGTAAGTTCTGTAACCAATTCGTAAATCACTGTTCCGAATTCCGAAATGAAAATGTTTTACTTCATATTACCGTTAACCGGGAAACTAGATTTATCATTGTATTATCAGTTAGGTACCATTTTAATAAGATTTTGTGAAAACTTGTTGTAACACAACAATAAAGTCTTTCTTTTGTCGACATTGTGAAATTCTTTCGTTTTGTTTTGTCATAAAAACCCTAAAACAAATGACTTTGACAAGTGAATTCAGAAATATGCCAAGAATATTTCATTAGAAATGTATTCAATGTGCATGCCAATAATATTTTTATTATTTACTTATTTCACGGGAATATTAATCAGAGGCAAAACACAATTTTGTATATAATATATTTTGTCTTGAATTATGACTGAAACAGATGATTGAAATTATAAAATATGTAGTGTGTTCAACAACTCACATATGAACAATAACTTCAATAAATATGATTTTACTTTGTAAAAATGTCTTTACTCCATAAGACGAAAACATTTAACAACGAAAACGGAAGTCGTTAATATTGTATTCGTAATGGTGTGTGTTGAGACTTACTGTGTATAGAAACAAGATACGAGTTTGGGGTATCTATTGAATGTACAGTTTTGTGTGGTAATTGTGTGCGATTGATAATTTATCTGAAAGGCACGGTTATAATCGGCGCAAAATTGCGCTAAAATAATGAGTGAGTGGATGGATGTAAAATCTTAAATTGTTAACAGTTTAGTCGTCGTGAACTGCGAAAGAATAATCTGACCGCCGCGTCTTTGTGGTGATTTTTACTGAACACTTGTGGCAATGTAGAAAATCATCTTAGTCGCCAACAAAGTCAGCTTCGAATCCTGTGGTCTGAAAATTATTGCAATAAAATCGTATGTTGGGTTTTATTTAAAGTGTTTTTATTCTTAACATATATCTGTATATCAGTTACGTTCGTATTCAACTTGGATATTGCAGCAGTCTACGTACGTAATGTGTGTCGAACGGATTCGCGCATTTTTTAAGACCAACAATTTTTATATTAATATTAATCACTAACAATTTTTTAAGGATTAAAACTTGCAAACTTTAAATTCAAGGCGATGTTATTTAGATATATTTTGTATTTATACAATTGTAAACTGTCACAAGTAGTTGAATTTATCATAGAAAATATTCACCAATACTGATATAATAGAAATATTGATAATATAATATACATAATTGTACATTTTTGAATTTATTCTAGAAAGTATGGTTTCAATAGTATACGTTTTTCGCTTGTTTTGTATCTGTTGTCTAGTTTCATTTACATAAATATATTTAAGCCAATAAATAGGTGATATGCCCGTAGTACTTCCATATTAAACGTATATTTAAAGCAACATAAAAAATAAGGCGGTTGCATTTTTGTTTCTTTGGCATAACACGTCAAATGAAGTATTTTTATGCAAGAGACAACTATTTGGTACGTAATTTTAATAAGTGTTCTGTGCCGGTTAAGTTGACTCTATTTAAAACTTTATGTACAACGATGTATTGGGCTGTATATTCCAAAGCTAATCTGAATGCTGTGCGGGTTGGTTATAACAATGCTTTCCGCGTTATATTTTATGTCAGTCGTAACTTGAGTGTTTCTGAAACTCAGATTTTAAATTGTGTTCCCACTTTTTTAAGTATTCTGTGCAAGTCCACTGTTAGTGAGAATTATTTAATTGTGGCAGCCATGTCAATTGATATGTTGAGGGAGAGCAACTACTGGAAATCCCCTTTACCCAGGTCGACTCTATCTACACGGATTCCACTATCGTTGTAACAACGGCGATTGCAAAATTGTGCAGCATGTTGTGTTGCGCACCATATTGGAAGGCATTGGTTGGGCAACATTCCCACTGTTGTTTTTTAATTGTCAGCTCGATGTTTTTAGACACCTTTTGCAGTTTCCAACTGCATATCACTGACAAGTGCAGTCTCTCCAGATGGTTTGAAGGTTCTCCAAAAATAGTTCACAAGGCAAGCCAAGTTAAATTTTCCCGACGAGGTTTCCAACCCACTACACTTCTCTTGTTTCTTCAGACTCGTCTACATCTTATTTAAAACACCTCAATGCACCACGGTCCATCCCAGCTGTTAACTATGTATCATACATTAAGAAGTATTCAGTTTCTTTAGAGTCACACTGTAGTTTTGTTCTTATCTGCTCAGTTGTCTAACCTACTGAGAATATGTCCTGGTGCTCTTTAAATAATCCTCTCTTTCTCTTATGGTCAGCAATACTATACTTGTTAACCAGAAGTCCTGATTGATCTTCATTAATTTCCATCTTTTTCTCACTACTATCTTCTTGCTATATTGTTATCTTTGCATCATGTGATGGCTGTAACACCAATCATTAGTGAACTGGATTGGCATGGTCTCATCAGAGGCTCTATTTACTCCAACTAATATTTTTTGTTCTGCCAGATAATGTTGTTATTTTCTTCCATGGTAGTTGTGGTTAGAAATGTTTGGTTCCAAAGACCAAAGCAATTTCTGCCCCCAATCACTTCTTCATCTAATAAAAATAATGTTATACGACTTGAATTTAATGTTCTATGCTTGGATATCTTATTTCCACATTATCTTGTATTGTTTCTAGGTCTAATGAATTTAATTTGGTCGATTAGTCGTACGCTTGCCAAGAGCTGTTACAGTCCAGCGTAAAATATAACCACTGGATGCACATTCCTATGTCTGCTTGGTTCATCAATCGAAGTGGATCATTCCCATGCGTAGTGCGTTATTCATATGTACAATCTATAACAAACATTCAACTTTGCCCAACACTACTGAAGTTTAACATTACACTTTTTTCACAGCGATTCCATGGTGATAAACAACAATTAGTTATCAATCTGATTACTGTGCTGGTCATTTTATTTTTTAAACTGCGCTAAATGTTGGGCCTTTTCTTGACGCAATATCATATTCTAAAAGCTCCTACTTGTGAATATGTGTGTGAGCGAATCTGACTAAATGATGTATATATTTATCATGTCAAACTATGCATTCATGTCTCAATGATAGGTAACAGCTGCATTGAATTGTCTTTGTTATGAAAGAGACTTGAAATGTAATTCAACAGCACCATATTGTTTGAAGACAAATCTAGACGAGTATCGCTAATAACATAGTCAAGTTTTGATCGGCGTTAAGCTGTTGTTGGTTAAAGAATTGGCTTTATATTCCATTTATTTCACAGTTTAATGCTAACTCCAGTGTTATTTGACTATGTCTATGTGTTGTATTGTAGATCTTTATGTGTAGTCTGCTTAGTCCAGATGGATTTGACAAGATTAAGTGTTTGACCGAATGACAACTTTCGCAATCACTTGTTGTGCCATTTAGTTGAGATCATGTATGTGGTTTAGAGCAGCATCCATAGCTGTCATACTAATTCCATTTACACAATATTTACACTTTTTTATATTTTTTTATCAGGAAGAAACACTTCTCTGGAATTCGGAGACGAGCGTTTCAGTGTCACATATGTTGTGATAAACATGATGTTAACGTAAGTACTATCAAACTTACGGAAGCTACCTTGTGACGTAAATCATTTTAAAGAACTGCAATTAGATTTGGTGTTCCAATCCAAGGCCAACGACAATCGTGTTCACTGTAATTCAGTGGATGTCTTTCCAATTTGTACTTGCCTTCAGGAATTGTATCTGAGTTTCAGTGTTTCAGATTCATTTTATACGTTCGTATATATGCTTGTAATTTCGATTATCTAATCTATAATGTGTAGCATTATGGGGAGATCTTTTTTAGATTACGTTAATTTAATACGTCGTCAGATTCAGCACATTTATATTGGTTCATTCGCTATAATTTGTCTCTTTTATATAATACATTACTGATATATGTGAAGAATACATTTTTGCAGTTTATCAAAATTATCTATGACTTCACACGACCGTGAACCTCGTATGTTATTTCAGTCAGTGCTTTCAAACGGGGTATTCATTTATTCTAGCGCACTGCCATCTACAGAATATTTGATGAGATGACCAACTAATACACATTATTACACTCATCTGTTTTCAAATTAAAATCTGCGAACATTTTCGCAATACTTAATTCTTTTCAGCTGTTTGTCCCACAGCAAAACATGCAACGAATAACGCTTATTCGTATAATTTTTCATCGCATAATCCACTGATTGGTCGATTGATGTTTAGAGTGCAAATCTTATTGTAATACCGTTACAGTAAACTGTTTTTTTTTATCAATAGCATACCAACGTGGTGAGGTGATATTCCAGAAGTATTTTCCGAACACAAAAGCTAAGCTAGACATCACGCAACTTGGGAAGTACTCTCTTTATAAGTCCACTATAAAGACTAGTGTATTCAAACAATATGATGTGTTGATTATGGCTACCATTGATAATCTGTCCACAGAATTTCCTATCGTTGAACCTGAAACTTCAGGTACAGGATTTGATATAATTTCATTGGTGTATTGCTTCATTGGAATTATAGGTATATTTGGCAATGGTGTGGTCTGTTACATTTTTCTGACAGATAAACATTTTAAATCAATTACGCACCGTTTAATTTTGCATCAGTCATGTATCGATTTAACCAGCTCTTTGCTGTTCTTGGGATTACGAGTGTCGATTTTGTTAACAGGGGCTGTAGGTATTCCAGACGGTGCGTTTGGCAACCTGATTTGTAAGGCCTGGTATTCGGCCACTTTATTGTGGGGTTGTTTGAATACATCGTGCATTAATTTGTGCCTGATAACGTTGGAAAGGTATTTTGGCGTGTGTCATCCAATATTACATCACAGAAGAGGAACTATAAGATTGGTAACCATCGCAATGATAATGGCTTGGGTAGTAGGGTATTTGTCAGAGGCGTGCTGGGGCTGGATGACTCACTGGAATGAAAATGGGGCTTGTTTGTTTGCTTGGATAAACGATGCACATAGAATATATATGGGCATCGAATTATTTTTTATCGAGTTTGTTATCCCACTCACGATAATCGTATATTGCTATATTAAGATATGGCAAGCAGTGAAAGTGGCACCCATGACTACCAATACACTAGGTGTTGCGAGAAGCAAAGTCAATGGACGTGTCAGATGGAATATTATCAGAATGTTATTTGTTGTGGCGGTTGTGTATTTCATTTGTTGGATACCAAACGTATTTGGTGTAAGCTTGTGGTTTCTGACTTTCAACCAGTATTGGGTTGTCCAGGGTCCACTGCATGAGTTCACAGTCACCATGGCGTTTATCAATATGTGCGTCAATCCGATCATATATGCGGCCAAATATGATGAATTCCAAAGAGCTTGTCTTGAGAAGCTCTGCTGCAAGAAAGCGGGCCAGGTTCAAGAGATTAGTACCGTACAGTCGGCTATGAGTGATATAGACTCACACGCAATATAGTATTTACAAATTCTTTTCATGTGGTGGGATTGCTTAAACTCTGTTTAAGTCGCGACCAACACGTAAATTGCACATTATTGTGTTGTTTTAACTTAGTTGATGTGTTTCTCTCAAAATGGGAGCATAGACTACTTATGGATTCCTCGTTATTTTGTTTTATTAAGCCTTGTAACAAATAAAGCAACTGTTGGTTTATAGAAAATTATGTCATATCTCAACAGTTAACCCTGGGTCCATGACAATGTCAGAATGGCTTTTCAATCACCGCCATGGATTATGCTATAGAAAGTAATTATCGTGTATTGGGGAATTTCTAGGTTACCACTGTTACGTACTTACCATACGTTTTACGCGTCCATCCAATTTTGTAGTACCAGAATTGTTTATGGTGTTTTAGTAGGCTGCAAATTCAATGTAAAAACCTACCCACTGATAGCGCCGTAGGACCTGTGCTATAATCGGCTTAACAGATATTTTTGATGTGATCATGTTACGTATTATGCAAATCAATAATTCATAAACTACTCATAATTCTATGTTGGCTGTTCTCTAAACACTTTTTACAAATTATAACTAGATATATATTTAATATTGAGTGATATATTAATATCTGTATTGCATTATTTACTTCTTTACTTGTTAGTGGCTTGCATGATAATTAACTTAGGTAATGCTTCTTTTCAGACCAATATAATATTATCATTAGTGATTACTTTCATTTTTACTGAACTATTTCAAAAAAATGTTGTTTTTTATCTTACTTTTCCTCGTGGTGTATTACATAATAAATTCATTGACTGACAAACTCCAGAAAAAGTAACTATTGAATTTAAGTTTATACCCGGTGAATTAATCACTTGCAACAGTATAACTTTCAAATTACCCAGTAATGTTGGTCAAGCCAATTGGCAATTGTATATATTTGATTCAACAAAAAAATTATTATTGAAAATTTCGGCAGTTAAAATTTGTTGAAAGATTGTAGCTGACATGTTCCCTCATTTTGTTACGCACTTGTGTATATAGGAATATATCTACTATATTACCTTGAATTATGTCTTTCGTATCTGATAGAGGGATATTATATTTCCTTGGGTTTATTATTATTTTGTGTTTCTGTTACATTGTCCATTGTATTTTTACATGATGAAATTTATTATATTATATTATATTATATCATATCATATTATATTATATTATATTATATTATATTATATTATATTATATTATATTATATTATATTATATTATATTATATTATATTATATTATATTATATTATATTATATTATATTATATTATATTATATTATATTATATTATATTATATTATATTATATTATATTATATTTGTTTTCTCATTTATGTTAAAAATTATACTTCTCGTTTAAACCAGCAATTGCATTACTGTCTTTGTCTTATGTGTACCACATAATAATTGATCAGAATTGTTTCCACTTATATACAGCATTATTCACAACGAATTATATCAAATGATATTTTTCTTTTTCAATTCTTCAAAAATATATAACATACATTTTTAACACTCTGGCCTTGGAGTAAAATTTATTCGCTTAAATACTGTCTGTCCAGTTTCACCTACTATGGGGCTGCAATAGAAACTACACGTTTTTGAGACACTAATACAAAATAACACATTCCGTGGTTTTCAAAACTAGAGACACCTGAAGTGCTAAATTACAGTTAACTTGATTGAACATGTTTAATAAAGACTTCATTTCTAGAAAATAATCAAGTGTTTAACGAAATGCATACTGTAAAAACAATTTGATTCAAAGTGTGGAAGAATTAGTATCCAATATTGGAATTGTTTTGGGCATGTATAGTTCACGCGTGTTTAGTAGATTACAAAAAGTCATGAATCTGAGGTTTCCTTCAAGGAACATACATATTGTTGCCAATACGTTGGTGTTTCAAAAAATATGAAAAACAAACAATATATGCACAACTCAAAAAGGTGGAAATAGCACTTATATTCAACAATAAAGCTACATAGATTCAGCTCATTTGCTGATTTTGAACCCCAGTTTAAAATGGATACTGTAAAATTAATCTTATCACAATACTACAATTAAACTGAAGCCACAAAACCATGAACACCATTCATATTATATGTTAAATATAAAAAAACTTGTTTACTAAGAATATTAATTTAAAATGAAAAACGTGTATAGTTATAAATTACCAAAGTATTGGAATATTTAGTATAAAACCACGTGGGTGTTATAGGTGTATAGGCATGGTCGAACATGTTTTTCACTTTACACAGGTTTTGTCACACAAAGAACATGTGTAAAATTATGAAAACATTTGCTATTTTTCTTAGTCATGACATTACTTTCAGAAAATAATTTTAAGTCAAACACCAGGTTATGGAAGAATTGTAAGTACGGAAATATGGTCTTGGTCTTACAACTGGAAATCGAGACACGTGGTGAATTATTTACCCGAATGTCGATACTCCACATTTGCTGAACGGTGATTGTAGTTTCAATCACATCTGAGCATTTCCGCATTTAATTTTAACTTTAAACTTTTCAATTTGATATACTTCAGAAAGCAAAATCACCAACTATATTTCAACCCAAAACATCAGACTATGAATGTTTCACAAAGTTTTAATGTATAAGGCACACTTTTCTTCCCTTTTGTTTTATTTTGAATCACTTCAGAAAACAAATACACATGCAATGATTAAAGATACAATACCCGACTATGCATATTTCATAAGTGTTTATTTATATAAAGTGTACACAATTAGCTAAAACACTTTTCTTCCAAACTGTTTTTGAAGCTCTTCAAAAACGAACAAACATGCAATGTTTCAACATAAAACATCCGAATATATAAGTATTCATACACAGGACACTTATGCAGTCTACGGTATGCATCTAGAATAGCCACAATACTTATTATCAAGAGCAAACAACATATTTATTAGAAAAAATGCTCAAACACGTCACCATTGTCAGCTGACATACTATTCATTTAACGATATATTTATTGAATTTTGTATTTTTTAATAGTAAACATCTGTATATATTTATGTATGTTGCGCATGTTCCTACCATGTACCTATCATAAGTTTAGTAGCCGACACAAACATAAACATGCACGGTCGTATTACCAATGCTCGAATTAGTAAGCTAAAAGACGCAGACAGGCGTTAATTCCCTGTGATCTAATCATTGGATTCCTTTTCTTCATAACTAATATTCTATTGGCTGAGCTACAATCTAACATGGTGATTACTACACACCTGTGCAAATTTGCGTACAATCTAAACAATTCTAATGAGTCTCTCATAGTACGTAACCATTTGACTGTCATTTAGAGATGTCATTAATAAAATAAATGCAAAATGAAAACAAATATTGAACAATTGTTTGTTTTGCTACTTCATTGCAAACATTTTAAGATACCTTTCGTAAACGACGATATTCACGATGAACACTATTTTATGTTGCGTGTTCTGGTAACTGGTAACTTATGTTGTGCGCTCGCTCATTCAATGATTGAATTACACTATCGAGAGTATACGGACAGGTGGCATATTTGAGAAGAAGAAGCAACAACAACTTGGTTCGAATGCTGCCTTTAGATTTTCTGAGGAAGGAAGGGAACCGGAAGTTATACTAAATAAACCAGAAGATATGATGATATTTTTACTCCGTGTGGAACGTGTGGAAATTGTAATTGATGGAGACCGCAACAACAGTAATGTACTGCATGGTTATTTGTAGCGACCTCCATTCATTACATATACATGTAAATAGTTTTAAAATACTGCACTTCCCGTTTTAGGCGGTGATTTTAAAAGTGATGAAATAAGTAATTTGACGGATAGAAAAGTTAAAGATGGATGAAATAGAATGGATGTAGTGCATATATGTAAATTCGAGGATTGAATTGGATTGGGAGTATATTTATTTCAAGTGAGCATGTTTCTCTGAAATTGATGATTTTTTATGTGTTCCACTATTTTATTTCCCAGGAATTTGATGTGCCCGGAGAAACTGCATTCGAGACAATATTACCACTTGGGCACTTTTATTAATGTCAATGAAGAACGGGTTTAGAGATGGTATTGTAACACTGTTTATGTGTTGTAATTCGCATCATTCATATTTTAATCAGGTTTATTTGCTTTTGGTGATCAATATCTGCACGAGGTAGTCAAATTTCGTAGAAACTACAGCCAATTACAGTTAGCCTTTTATATTGCCCGACGGTGTAGTCACTGGGGAAAATAATTAACAAAACATTACAATGTACGAAATGAAATGTCGTGTTGCGTGGCGTGGGTTTGTTTTACCAGGAAAAGTGCTTAGATACTCGGGTAATTTTCTCGATGAAGGCTAAAACTCCTGTGGCCAATTCGCACATGTTTGTGACAAAAAAACGTTTGATACAAAACACAGCCAGACACGTTCCATCTAGATTTCATTACTCTGGTGATCTAAATGTGCCGTTTATTGTCAAAGCGTTTTCTAGCAGAAATAATTTGGGACAAAAAGGGGGTGCCGTTGCTACGATTGACGGAATGTTTAGACCACACACACAAATATAACTTCAAATTTGTTTTTGAGAAGAATTTATCGATGTTAGG